TGCAAAGTTTAAAACAAGTTTTAGTACAAACTAGACCAGTAAAAAGCTTCATTCGCAGCCTTCAATGCCATTCAGTATTATCACTATCACTATTATTCCATCCCGCTAACAGCGAAGCGCTTGGGTTAGCTATGCCCGCAAGCCATCCAGAGATCTAGTCCCAGAAACTCCTTGGTCATTTCTCATTAATTCCTGAATTAGAGAGGACTCTACTGTCATTCGCAGTATTTGTTTGTTCCCATTGGCGATTTGCTTCCCCCCTTGCAGTTCTCGTTGTCGACCTGAAGGTGAAGAACATTTGTCTTAAAGAAAAGGCAGGTTGCTTACCTGTAACTGTCCTTCTTCGAGTGGTCATCTGTGCATTCACACAACCTGGATGTGTGAATGCAGAGACACACAAAGAATGGGAAGCCTCCTTTTCTGCATCCCTTTGGGGGATGCAGGTCAGGGGGAGGGGGAAGGGGAGGAGGAAGGGCAGCTCCTTGTCCTGAATTAGTCTGTAGAACCTTCTGCCCCAGCAGTGAGTGCATGGAAAACTCCCTCTTGGCACTCCAGGCCCACCTGAATTGCATGACAGCAACTCTTCGGGGGTTCAGAAATCCCCGGTCCTACCTAGAGATCCCAGGTGTTAAAAGTGGGATGTGCCGACGAGGGGTTTGGCCCTCCACGACCAGTGCCCCGGTGGGTTCCCTCAGCCCATCCTGGCGGCCCCCCCCGGGGCAGTTCCCCCACTCCCCGTCTTCAGGGCACCGCAGACTGCAGAGGCCTTTTCAGCCACGGACACGGAACTGCACCGTCTGTCCCAGTGCCAGCAGCTGGAGAGCGAGGAAATCGGTCCGGCTGTCGCTGCTCCTCCCTGGCAGCTTCATGGCCGCCACCTTCTTCTGCAGGAGGAGGCAGCCAGCCAGCTGCAAAACGGCCAGCCTGCCCTGGAAAGTATTTAAGGCAGCTTGGCACGGCCCTGTGGGGAACAGCAAGAGATTTCGACTTGTTCTCCGCTTCTCCGTAGAGTTGGTTTTATTCTTGTTTCCCGGATTGTTGGTCTTGCCTTCCTTACCACCTGTAATCCCGGGTGTGTGGCAGGCTGAAGCATCCTGGGAACCACCTGCCTTTTGCCTGCACAGATTTGCACCTTGACTGTGTTTTTCCCAATGTGGCACATTTTGATGTTTCTTGGGAGCCAGTTTTGGCCCAGTGGCTTCTCGAGCAAAACGAAGTTGCAATACCTGCAGTGGATACCCAAGTGGCGGTTTGACGGCTGGAGGTTTGGAGGCAATCCTCCCAGGTCCTCTGTCCAGGTCGCAACTGCAAGTTCTCTGTGCTCCAGACAGGTGTGAACACCTCCCACCCCCTTTCTTAACCTACTAAGAGGGTGGTGGAGCTTGGACACTCCAGCTTCCAGTCTTGACCTCCAAGTCAGCCTTCTGGGCATCTCAGACAGTCCTTGATGAAGGTCCAAAGTGATGCTTCACTTGGGACTCTTCCCCTGGACAATCTCTGCTGTCTGGATGCCTTCTCAGCGTGATGCTCCGAAGGAAGGGGGGCAAACGGCATAGCCTGGGGCTCTAGACCCAAAAACCTTGGGCAACTGCTATCATCCAGTGAATTCTTCCATCCGCAGATGAGTGGGTTCTTGCCAATGGCAGTACTTGCGAAACAGCTGCATGCTCTCTGATCCCATTTCCAAGTCCCCTCTGCCCCCTAACCTCTTAGCAGGAGCTTCTTCTATGGCAACCTCCCAAATGGGAAGGAAATTATATGTGCATGGGGTGGGGGGAGCGACTCAACTCCCTGCTGGCCACTGTCATTCCAGCATGTGCCCCAGGGGGAGAGGAAGCTCCATCAGGGTTCCTAGCCCTCAGTTTCAGGCATGGATGGCCGTCCGTCTCTTTTGGAAAAGGTGGGTTTTGGGGAGGGGGCAGCAAGTGCGGAGCCCAGTCCCTGATCCCTCAAGGAGGGGGGATATTGAAAGATAGCCTTTGCCAAAGTCACTTCACTCGCTTCTTACTAAAGAAAGTTAATTCGTATTAAAAGAATGATTGCAGTAGTGGATTATTTCTAGACTGTCTTTCTGAATGCAAACCAGGCAGCTGACGAAACATTCAGAAAATGAACTGTAGCACTAAATTATTAAAGAGCCAGTGTGCCAGTGTGGTGCAGTGGTTAAGAGTGGTTAAGAGTGTGGGACTGGGACTCAGGCGATCCGGGTTCGAGTCCCCGCTCAGCCATGGAGCCAACTGGGTGACTTTGGGCCAGTCATAGACTCTCAGCCCAACCTACCTCACAGGGTTGTTGTTGTGGGGATAAGATGGAGAAGAAGAATGATGTAAGCTGCCTTGAGCCCTTTGTAGGAAAAGGCAGGATACAAATAGAAAAATAAATAAATAAATAAATAAACAAACATAAAGCCCATAACAAGTTTATAGGCCAAGTTTTAAAAAGAGGATCTCAACTCCCTAATACTGGCTTACTTTACCAAATAGTAAAACACGATGGCACTACCATGGCAAAATGTACCGTTCAGGCCTTCCATTTCTTTTTTTTGTTTCTCATACTTTAGAATTTTTTTCAGGGGTGGCTTTGGACATTCTTTACTGTTGAGCAGAAAAAACAGCCTGGATAACTAAAGGAGTGTCTTGTTTACTCCTACAAAGATCCTAAGAGCATCTATGGAGGTCCTTCTCCAAGATCCACCTTTAAAAGAAAAAAAGTGGTCAGAAGAAAGGCCTTCTTGGCTGGGGCACCCCACTCGCTGAGCCAGCTTTGCAGGAATATATGGCTGGCATCAACCTTGGATATGTTTTGGCGCCAGGCTAAAACATTTTTATTCTTCCACCATTTCGATTGTTGATGGGCATTTGGTTTTATATTGGCTTTTATTATATTGATATTGTTTGCTGTTTATTGTTGGCATTTATTGTTTATTATCGTTTATGTTGACTGTATTTTATTGATCGTATAGCTGTTTTTATGACTGGCATTATGGCTTTAAAATTGACTGTTGTTATTTCTGTTTTAATTTGTTGTTATTACAACAATTTATGAAGGCTTTATTGTATGGTCATTTGGGAGCGTTGGGGCTAATGAGCAGGAAATAAAAAACCTTAATACATAAAAACAAGCTTCTACCAAAGGACAATACCTATTTGCATATGATAGAGTGTCTCCCCTTTTAGATATGCTTATGTAAATACGAGGATACATGCCATCTCAGCAGAATGACAGCTGGAGAACTGGTCTGCAGGGTCACAGAATTCATGCCACTAGGAAACCTTTCTGTGGAACCTGAAGATCCAATTCACAGAAATCAGAACTCGTCTGAATCCAAGGCAGAGCCCTCCAATGCCCACGTTCTGGAGATCCATGGTCTTGTCCTTTCTCAGTCATGAAGCTCACCGGAAGGGTCGGGGGCCATCATCTCCCACACTCGCCCTGCCTTGTGGGGGGCTGTTGAGGTCAGAAAAAGGGGAGAGAAATTGCACACTGCTTTGGGCGTCTTGGCAGAAAGGTAGGGTGCAAATTATATTTACATTGTGTTTAATTAACATCCTGCCTTTCTTTTTCTTGCAAGGAATCCAAGGTGCCTTACAAGTTTCTTGTCCTCTGTTTTATCCGGACAACCACCCTGTGAGGTAGCTCAGGCTGAGCCTCAATGAGGGCCCTGATGCAGCTGAGTGAGTTTCATGGCCAAGGGGGACTAGAACCCGGATTCCCCAGGGCCCAATTCAACACTCTAACCACTACACCATGCGAGGGAACTCTGGGCCAGACACAGCCTCCTAGCCCAACCCACCTCACAGGATAAGAATGACAGGAGAATCATGGAAGCCACCTTGGGTTCACTGGAAGGAAAAAAGCAGGGATATAATTAACTGCTACTCCTATTTTGAAACAGAAGCCGAAATTCTAAAAAAAGACTCGAGCATCCTCTCAGGAACCCACATGCAAGCCTGCTCCACACTTAGAACTCACATTATTAGGGGATTCATTTGCAGATTCATCACCTCTCACCCCCAAAAAGGTTGGCCCAGAAGCCTAAAAATTTCCACATCCAAAGTGGAGCGGGGGGGACAGAGAGGGGGGGTGTGGTGGGAAAATAAGTGTACTTTTGACACGAAGCTGGTGTCAGGCCTAAAAGCATTAGCCCATGCACACACTTTCCACTCTGCAGCCACGCAATGATGCTTGGAGAAACAGTATGCAAGATCTGTTTTCGATGGCAACATTACAAAAAACAACCCCGCACCTTGTTGGAAGAAAGGAACACTCGTCCCCCCAGCCTGCGAAGGACCAGACCGATGAACCCCGAGTTCAGAGAGGACAAAACACCTCCCGTTCCTGCTTTGTACCTTCTCTCTGGTCTGAATTCGCATGGCGTTGCCTCTTGAGAGCCCGTCCTCCGTCTTTCGTTACATGCAGCATCTTGTTGGACGGAACGCCAGCGCAGCCGGAACGGATGAAGAGCCGACCCTTTCCACCGACTGCTCTCATGCACAATCAGCAGAAGCCACTCTCGCGCTCACCCACTAGAGGGGATCTGCAGCTGACGCTCAGCCCTCCGCAAAGAGCCCCTGGGCGGTCACTGGCCTTACCTTTCAGGACAGACCGCGGCTCCAGGGACGCTTCTGAGCCGTGAGGTACATGGCCGGGGGCGGGGGGCGGTTTAGAAAAGGCATTTTGCAGAACACATACCATGAGTTTCCAACGGGCATTTCATACGGTCAGGTCTGCCTCTCCGCGGGGTTTTGGGTCCCTCCAACGATGCCACATTCAAAAGCAACCAACAACCCTGTTTCGTATGGCAAATTGGATTTTTTTTAATGTTTTCAATAGAATAGCCTTTATATCACTCTCCAACAGAAAAAGAAACTACAGAACAGCAAACTTTAATACAAGGACAACCTCCAGCTTAGCAACCCCCCTCTCCACCCCCCCAAACAAAAATAATGCAAAATGTGAATCACATATAGTACAATGGAAGTGTCCAAAAACAATTTAAATAATTTTAAATATTTTATTTTATTTCAAACTTGCTACAAATGCTTTATACAATAGTTCGACATAGAAGTCCCCACAAACCAGAAAAAATGTAACAAAAAAGGGAATGATAGTGAAAGAGAAGGTGGTTAAAGTGGCACAAAGTCACCAAAACAATATTAAAACTACAAATTTTAAGAGGTAGATTACTTTTTTAAGTCAAGAACGAATATGATTTTAAAAATGGGGTGCTCAAATGAAACTAACTGCTCTTTGCCATCCGAAGGCTCATTCCCTCCTGGTGTATGGGAACAAAACCAAACAGAACTGCATTTTTTCAGGAGGGAAAATAATAATGTTGTTATACAGCTAGGGAAAAAGGTGGCTCTTGTTATTGGATACACCAGCCAATTAACAGTAATTTCACCTATGTGTTCATTTGTGCTATACAACTTTAGAGGGTGAACGGTTCGATTCACGGTAACTTGTGGGCAACATCCTCATCGACAGACTTCCGACCTGGGTGCCGTCAAGGGTAGTGGGACCAACCCGGCTTCCTCCCTCTGCCTCTCCCACCCACCACCCCATGCAGAAACCAGAAGACGGGGGGAAGCAAGCAACTCCTGCGCCCGCTTCCACCGCTCCTTAAAACGGAAACAAAACGAAAAAAGTCTGGCCAGTGAGTGCCAGGGAGTGGGGGGCTCTGAGAGAGAAGGCATCCTCCTCTCTCGCTAGTCTCGTCATGCTGGTATAAAACAAAGGCTTGTAGAGACTTGATTTGCGACCAAAAATACGTTGAGTGCAGTTAACGTTTTGTCATCCCTGAATATACTGGGAGCGTCTGAAGAGGGCCTGCCTGGCATTCATTGTGGCAGCAGCCTCTCTGTCCACGGGCTGCTTTCCCATCGGACAGAAGCAAGTAGAAGCACAAGCTGCGAACTCCGTGGCCGGGGTTTGCTCCAGTGGCGTTTGCTCCATGTTCCTAAAAACAAAAGACTGCAGGAGAGGAGCATCTGCGTGCCCCCCTTCTCTCTCTGCAGCCACGGATTCCTCCCGCCTGGCTGGCGCGTTCCAAATCCAGCTCTGGTGCTCTGCACCCTCCCTGGACGGGAGAAGCTGGCTCGGGCCGGTTCTCAGGCCTGGGCGATCGGCCCTCCGTGCTCATCCTGTCCAAGCTGAGGGGGACACAGCTCAAGCCGGTCAGTTCGGAAATTTCATTTACAGTCCGGAGGTCTTCTGCTTGCCGTTGTGTTACAGCAGGTTCCTAAATGGGAAGCAACAACATGGATCAGAAGAGATGGAGCCATCGAGCTGAGAGACGGGTCAGCACAAGACAGGGCTCAGGTCTGGGGGCAGAGGAGGGGCGGCAGCAAGTGAAAGTGGCTACTTACAGAGCAAACTGGTCTGAGAGAGGAGAACGGAGTTAGCGCGACGCACTCTCGGGGACTCCGTCTTCTGCCTGCCAGAGACAGGGCTCAGACCCTCGCCTGCAGCTTCTGAACTCTGGAGGAGGGCGGCGACTGGGGGGCGCCTCTGCGCGCACCACAGCCCTGTGCGGCGGCCGGGCTGCCTGTCCTGGGGGAGCGCGACTTGCCGCACGATTCTTTGAGCCGAAGCAGCGTTGCCGAGCGCCCTCCCTGCGCCCCACAAAGGCTGCAGAGAAATACGGCTGAAGCCCATGCGAGGAGCATCAAAGAGGAGTGCTAGGAGGACGGCGGCAAGCCCATTTATTTAATCAATTAAAACTCTTGCAGAGCGTCCCATGACTGAAGTCACGGGACGGTTTAACAAGAAAAATGAAAGAAAAGGAAGGAAGGAAAAATCACACAAACAAACGCGGCTTTAGGTGTATGTGGCTATGAGGGCCCCCTGGGTTCGATGCCATGGCAGAAATAATAGTGGCCTAACCCTGGAAGGGGATGTATCCAAGATGAGTCTGGAAACGGGCTGCCATCGGTGGCAGGTTTGCAAGCAGCACCTCCAGGGAGATCTGATGATTTTAAGGAGGGTGCGAAATCCATCGGTTCCCGTGGGGCCCAGATCCAGGCGGGTGTCAGTCTTTTAACACCGGCCCAAAGGTCCTCTACCATCGTTTGTCCTCCCCACGTTCTGTGCCAGGTGCCCTCAAGACTTTGCAAACTGAAAAATCCCACCTAAAGCCAGTTCTGGCCATCCTGAATGCCGGCAGAGCTCAGGATGGCTGAGCGGACGGCATGCACGAGGCTGTTACGGGAGGTCTTGCCGGCTGGACCAGGGCTGAGGATTCTCTTCTTGGAGAAATGCAGAGGTGGGGACACCCCCCTTGCGAATGGCCCCCCTCCTGGGATTTGGGAAGTGCCCCTCTTTTCAACCAGGCCTTCCCCACATGCCTGGCCTGCCCAGTTAATCAATCACAGCATTCTGTCGGCTTTAACGTTTTCTACGCACGCTGCACCTTCTAACGCATATAGCGTTGCGTGTAATTGCATTTGATTTTCTTGTAAACTGCTTAGGGATACTGCCGAATATGATCAGTGGGATATAAACCAGGTTGCCGGTTTAAATAAACCCCTTTGCCCTGCCAACCTCCGCGGGAGGCGTCTCGAGACAAACTGCATCGCAGGCCCTGCAGACACCCCACCGCCCTGCCCAAAGGAGTGACCCCTCTCTTCCTGGATATTATTTTCCCAACCTCGGAAGGAAGCCGGTGTGAATGAATGAAAACGTTTTCCCTCTGAAGGAGATGGATTTCTATCGAGCAGATGGCATGGAGAAAAGCGCCATGCTGCTTTTGCATAGCCCTGTGGTGCTAATCCAATTCCCCAAGTAGTTTAAAAGGACTTTATGAAGAGAATCTCCCAACACCGTGCCGAAATGGAACATGAAACACATTTCTGACACTGGCAGGAGGCACAAGACCCAACAACTCAGGAAAAGGTGCTATGCAAGGAAAGGGGCGTGGGGGGGGAGCAGAGGGGTGCTGAGGGGAAAGCACTGCAGCACCTGAACTGGGAGCGTGCGTCCTCGGCTTCTGAGTGAGAGCTGCAGCTCGCTCGTCAAAAACAGAAGCAAAGGAAAAAATGGCTGGCTCCACTGATCTAAGGCACTGTGCGGAGCAGCTGAAATTCAACAGGACAATGGGTAGGTTAGGGCAGCCTAAACTAAGCTAGGGCAGGTTAAACTTTAATATGAACAGTAACACATTTAGAGTTAATAGATAAGCTACAAGAAATTAAGCTGTCCTGGGACATGCTTCGGTGCAACACAACTTTACTCAAAGGCAAGTCTCACCCAGTTCAATGTGGCTTACTCCCATTTGACAAGTGGCTGGCAGTTGTATGCAGAGCTGGTCGGTTCAAAGGTAGAGAACACATTAGTCCCTGCTGGAAACAGCTTCCTTTGCTGCCCGTCTTCTGGCATCCGTGTGACCCTCCTGTCCTTTGAGTTGATCCACGGATGCCACAAAGACACTGGTTGGGAAGAGAATGGCTGCCCGAGGCTGGAAGGATTTTCTGCTAGGGAAGGAGAGTGCAAGAGAGATGCAACCCTGTGGCTTGCGCTCTGTTTCAGCCTTAAGTGCCACACCTGGCCAGTGAAGAGTGGCGTCGCTTTTACTGGCCGCTGGGAGTCTGCCTGCCCCAGGAACTCCCACACGGAGGGCCACAATTGCAACTCAATATGTTGTGAGCCGCCCCGAGGCTTCAGCGAATGGGGCGGCATAGAAATGTTTAAACAAACAAACAAACAAACAAACAAACAAACTCTGGCCCTTCTGAGCCCAAAGAGGCCACCTGGGGTGTCTCTGGATGAGTCACGGGTCAGGCTGTGTCTGGGCTTCACCTAGGGCGATTTAAACTTCAGCACAGGGGAGCACCAGACAAATATTCCAGCATCCACCTCGGACCAATCCCAGATATGCAGGCCACTCATCCCTGCTGGACTGCCACCGCCAGTTTCTCACACCCTGAAGGCATGTTGGGGCAGCTCTGCTTGAACAGACCGACGGCCCACCGGCTGCTGCCCCTTCTTCCCACAAAGGCCAGCCAGGCATCTCCAGGGACCCCACAGCAGGCTGCCGCGGCGACTGTCCTTCACTGCAGTGGCTCCCTAGCAGCGGGTCCTCCGACGGCACAGAGACTCTGATCTGGCAAGGTTCTGCACCATGAGGAAGAGCGCCATGGCAAGGGGGTGCCCGGGGTGTTCTGGAGTTTGACTCCCGTCAGCCACAGCCAGCACGGCCAATGGCCAGGAATGTCGGGAGTTCCAGCCCAGAGTTTCTGGGGGCATCGAGTTGGGGAGGGCGGCTTTCACTGCCTTTCATAGGAATCTGGGTGGGATCAGAGGATGGTGTGAGCTGGTGTCCTGCACCAGCAGGGGTTGGACCTGATGATCTTCCTGGCCCCTTCCAATGCTACTACTCTGTGATTCTAAACCAGGCTCCAACACGGTGGCAACCCTAAATCCATAAGCTGAGTGTGAGTCTGTGATGAGGTTTAATCTTTTGCCATTTGTCCCGCCTCCATGGCTCCCCCCAGCCCAAACCTTCCATGTCGTCACCTGTTTGTTTGCTTTCTTCATTCTTTTGCTTTAGGTCACTTTTCATACTTAGATATATTAATTGCCTATATATGTGTGTGTAATTAGATTAGCTATTAACATAATTAATGGATGGTTTGGGTGCTACAGTGAACAGTGGTTTGCACTGAAGCAGAAGTAACTGGAGTGTGAAAGGGGAGAAAATGCACTACTTCGCATTTATTGAAGCAATCTTTACCCCACTCGCACCAACAGCGAGGACTAGGCTCCTGCGAGTCGAGTGGCACAGGGGACGGTGCCATTGGTCAGGAGGACAGGAAAGGAAAGAGAACGAAACAGGGGCTATGCTTCATGCAGCAAATATGTGGTTGTGGGTTCCAACTGAAGCGCTGCGGCACAATCGCTGAGCAAATCTGTCAAGCTTCCAGCTTGCCGTGGCTGCCAGTCACCACATCAACCTGTCCACCTGTGATGCGCAACGCCTCCCAGAAATCAGGCAGGTGGCAGCTGAGGATCCTGGAGCCTCTTTGCGCTTCTGGATGGCATTTCCCAAGACTACTCAGCCGATGCCCTCTTTAAAGAGATGCAGGCCACAGGAGGAGAGGCTTAAAGATCTTTTCCTAATCAACCATCATGCTTAATGGGCTACGGTTTTAGATTTCTTACCTGAAAAACTCTAGTGTTGGTTTAAGGCTACTGGATTTATGGATTTCGTTTGTAACGCTAATTCCATATATTCATCTTTTTAAGATGTCACCCTGAATAAGAGCTTCAATGATGGAAATGGGGTATCGTTTTTAAAACTCAAATACCGAGTCATTTTGGACCTGAGGTTGGCACATGGAATGGGTGGTCGGTCCAGGTGAACGGCGACCACTGACTCACAGCGGCATCTGCATACAGCTCAGCCATGTCTTGGATTTTTACACGAGCCAAACGTCTCTTTAGAGCCTCGAATGGCTGTGTCACCAGGGCAAGCTTAAGCGTTGCACTTGTGAGTAAGCCCTAAGCGAGGAGTTGGGTGTGGGACAGTGAGAAGCGCACCTGAAATCTTTCGGCTCCTGCTTCGCGCTGCTCTCGTCGCGCTTGTTCTCCACAGCGTCCACGCTGGTGGCCAGCTGCAAGCTCCGGGTGATGGGCCCCCCAACCCTTTCTCGGGATTTCACGCTGAACCTGTCGGCCCTTTTTTTGCTTGTTGCTGCCGACTTGCTGGCTAAGGCCACTTTGCTCCTTTGTATCCTCACATGCAACTTGCGGGACGCTTTGCTCGAGAGTCCGGAGGAACCGTTCTTGGTCGCCCCTTTAGCTCTTTTGCTGTCTGATGCGATCATTTTCGCCATCCTTACAGGGCTGGCATTCCTGGCTGTCGATGGGGCGCTTGCCTTCTTGGATCGAATGGGTGGTACAAATTTGACGTTTGGTTTCAATTTGAAAGATGCTGACGGGAGCTGAATCGGCACGGGCCCGGAGCTGCGAGCCCGGGTCTTCCCCAGATGAGCCTGCGTGCTCTGCATTTTGATCTCGGCATCGGCTGTCCGTCGGCGCAGGTTGCTGTTTCTGTCGCTGCCGGAAGACGATGCCCCGCTCTTCTTTTTCTTCCTGGAGGAAGGGGAAATGGGCTTTTTGGGACAGCTGTAGGAAGCATGCTTGTTCAAGCTCGCAATGTATGTGAACTCCCGGTTGCAGTAGGGGCAGATATGGGAGCTGGACTCCATGGAGCTGTTCCTCAACTCTGCCTTCTGCTGGGACTTCTTCTTCTGCAGAATGGCCTTCTGGACCAGTTGGTTCTTTTTCTTCAGAGCACTGATTCTGAGCTTGTTCGGGGACATCCGATTCACCTCGACGCTGAAGCTGAGCCTCTTGGGCTGGCAGAGGGGAAGGACAACGCCGTTTTTCGGGCGGACCGTCTGCTTGAGTGGCACGGGGTTCTTCTTGGGCGTGTACCGTTTCTTGTCGCTGGCAGATGCGCAAGCCAAGATGTGTTTGTGCAGTTCCGGCATGTTGTCTACACTCTTCCCGCACTTGGTGCAGCGGATGGCCGTGGTGAAGGTCTGTGGGATATTGTGTGTTGTGAAGTTTGTGGCAGTCACGCCAATGCCATTCGGGTTACGGTGGTGATACTGGAACGGAGGGGGCTTGAAACTCGGGTAGTGCTGGTTGAGGCCCATGCGGACATCGGGGTCCTTTGACTTGATTCCGGCCGCCATGATTTTGATGGTGGTATAAAGTTCTTCTGAAGAGTCATTCAGCTCCTCATCTTCTTCCTCCTCTTTCGACGGTTCAGCAAAGTCTTCAGGCAGGCTCTGCATGTGCTCAGCACTCGCCTTACTGGGGTCTGTGAAGTTCTGTGGCCGCAGCGTCCCGCTCTCAAACTCCTGGTGGGTGCACTCTTTGTCGGGGTGCAGGTCCCGCTGGTGCTGCTGCAGATTGCACAGGAAAGCAAATTCCTTCTTACACACGGAGCAGACGAAGATGTTCCCGACGCCATGCAGCAAGAAGCGATGTTCTGACAAGTCTGTTTTCTCCCTAAATAACTGGACGCAGAATTCACATTTAAAGGGCCACTCCTCAGCGTGAATGGATGAATGCTTGGTGAGATCCTTAATGGAAAGAAAAGGTGCGTCACAAACATTGCACACAAAGTTCTTGCTAAACGTTTCCTGGATGATATCTGCCTCGCTGGAGACATGGGGGTCTTCGCTTGGCTTCTGGTGCTCGTCTTCTACCTCCTCTTCTTGTTTAAAGGATATGAGAGGGACTGAATTTTCTAGGTTATCGCCAGGGGAAAGCACTAGAGAAGCGACAGAGAGAGGAGGTGGTGAAGGAGAGGAGGAGGAAGAGGAGGAGGAGGAGGAGGAGGAAGAAAAAGAAGAGGACGGGGAGGAAGAGGAGGAGGACGGTGACAGGTTGGGAGGTCCGGGCGAAACGCAGCTAAGGGGCTTGCCAGAAGGGACCGGAGAAGCCGAGACCGTAGGAGAAAGGACCGGGAGAGGGGACTGAGCCGTGGCGTTCGATAACGGGGAGGGACATGAGCTCAGGGTGACACCGAGGGGCTCCTCCGGGAGAGGCGACGGGGCGGTGGGAAGGAGCGGAGGGGGTGGGGTAGGGGCCTTCAGCGTGGGCGGGCCGGGTGGGGGGGAAGGCGAGTTCGACCGCGTCAGCAGAGGCGGTACCCGACACGAAGGTACCGTGGGTGCCGGCGGCACAGGTGCCTCAGGAGAGGGGCTTGGGGAGCCGGGCTTGACCACGGGGAGGGGGAGACGTGCCTCGGGATCAGGCTCCAGGTGGGCTCCGGCCGCCTTGCCCACGCTGAGGCCCGGGCTGGTCTCGGGGGCCGGGCTCTCTGAGGCCGCAGCCGTCCCATTGTACTCGTTCAGCAGGACCTTCTGCAGCATGGAGGTGGTGGGCTTCTTCTTCACGCAGCTGCTCTCCGGCGGAGCCACGTGACTCTCCTTGGCCTTAGGGTCTCGGCAGGGCTTTTTATGGATGCTGAGGTCCAGAACGGACTCCCAGGGAACCTGGGCCCGGCTCTTGCAGTTCGACCGCTGCTTTACGCTGCTGGATAAGTCCAGAGGCTGCTGGTTGCACACGTTACCAAAAGGAGGGCCAGGCAGCCAGTCCTTCGACGCTTTGTGCTCTTCTGAGCAGAGGGGGCTGGGGGCCTCCTTTTCTTCTCGCCCAGGTAAGCTCCAGGCAGGTGAGCTTCTGTGACTCTCCAGCTTGGAGAGCTTTGAGCCCAGGACTGCATCGTTCCAGACGCATTTTCCTTCGCCCGCTTTGCCAAAGTCTCGAAGGGCCGGGCTGTGCTGCGGGGAGCTGGGAGGGGAGCTGGTTCTCCTTTTGAACCTGCTGGAGGCAGCCGACAGAAGAGGTGACGAGGCAGCGGCAAGTCCCAGCTTGGGGATGTCACCGGACGACGACGGGGACGATGGGGCGATCTTATTCTCATCCTGCGTCTGGAGAAGCTGCTTCAGTTTGGATGATAAATAAATACTTTTCTCTTTGGGGAAAGGCAAGTTCTCGGCTGTCGATATCGTGAGAGGAATAGTCAAGGAGCACAAGGAGGTTATAGGTTCTGCATCCATTTCGGTTTTTATCTTGGGCAGGAGGGGAGGGCTTGCCGTCCTCCTCTTTTTGGGTTCGCTGCCCCCGCCGACTGGGGAGTCTTTCACCACATCACATCTATGCACCGGTGTGGCCTTTAAGTTTGGGGATATCTCTACCGTCACGGGGCTAAGTAAACAGTTAATTCCGTAGAGTTCGGTGGAGCTGGCTTCTACCTCAATCACGTCGCAGTTGCTCGTGCTGCTGTTGGACTGGATCTTGCCGTCGATGTAGTAATTGAGGTTTTCCGAAATGTTACTGGAGACATCCATGAGGTACACGTCATCCGCCTCGCCCTCCTCCTCCTCCTCGAGGTCTGTGCTCGCTACGTACACGCTCGGGGCCTGCTGGGTTTGCTCTGCGGGAAGCTGAGGCTCCCCGGGTTTCCTCCTAACGCCCTTGGGGATGAGGTGGCGCTCATGGACCCTCCGCTGATGCCTGCGCATGTTGGTGTGCGTGCCGAAAACCTTCCGGCAATATTTGCATGGGTGCATTTCTTTGGGCTCCTTGGACTCTTCCAGAAGGACGGGATGTGGCGTCTCTACCAAAGCGTTCTCCGTCTCCAGAGCAGTGAGCTCGGGCCTGGCTGCCGTCTCCTCCCGGACGCCATCCTCAGTCATCGCGGGGTTCCTGCCTCCACCATCGGCTGCTTGGGCTGAGGCCGGAGCCAGGAACGGCTTCCGCTTTGGCCCGGCCTCGTGGCGCCGCTCGTGCCTTCTCCGGTTGATCTGCGTGCCAAAGGCTTTGCCGCAGTAGCGGCACTTGAACGCGTGGCTGATGGCTGAGATGTGGATGTGCATATGGCGCTCGAGCCCCTGCTTCGTACTGAACTTCCTCTCACAATGCTGGCAGGGAAACGTGAACGGCCCCTGGATGCTGCCGTTGGATTCGCTTCTCTGGATGGAGAACTTCACCAGAGGCTTCTTCTTGGGAGAGCTTTCCGGAGAGTCTTCGGAGACGCTGCTTTGCTCCTCTGTGGATTCGAGCTTGTCTTCACATATGGACAGGGGTTCCGCATCAGGACTCTCTTTAGGTGAGCTAGTGTCCTCCTCGTCCTCGTCCTCATCCTCCTCCTCCCCCATATCCCCCTCTGGTTCCTCCTCTTGCTCCTCTACAACTTTTGGGATGCCCGTCATTAGCTCTGCTTTGTCTTCTGGCGTGGCACCTGGTTCCGGGAGGGGGCTGGAGATGACCAGGCTGGGAAGGGTGTCCTGATTGACCATCTCCTGGATCACCGCTGTCTGTTCCAGCGAAAGCACCGCTGAAACCGAGGGTGTCTCCTCTTCCTGCTTAGGGTCTGATAAAGAAAAAACAGGGACAAATTAAAAATGGCTTGGCATTCCAGACATTTTGCAGGGTTCTCCAAAGGCTGCTCTTTGTGCAACACGGTTTGAGTTTTGCTGTTTTCGAACTTGGTTGGACTGGCGTTGTACACGTGTCTTGCCCCGGGGCAGGAGAAAGGTTGGACTGGGGCCTTTCAAGCTGTGCACCACGCAAGGCCGCCTGATGCTCAGCAGGACCCGCGGCCGAGCAGCATGATGCACGCGCCCTCCGCAAAGGCGGCCTTCAAGGTTCTGAAGGGCGTGCGGCTTTTCTCCCCGACGGACGTCTGGCGCTTCTGTTCTCTCTCTGCCCCTCTGCCTTTCACAGCCATTGAGCAGCAGCTGTGCCTTGTTTTTCTCCTTTTAATTATTTAAAGGGTTTTGTAGTCCTGTGGAACCCTTGGGTTCTGGGACACGTGCCGGGGCTTCCCTTCTTGGCCTCACTGCAGCTGCAGCCACGCTTACCAGTCAGTCCAGTTTTAGGAGTGATGGAAATTAACTTTCCCTCTCTCTGTGTGGGGCATGCTTGCCCTCCCCCCCACTTACCTTCCTTAGGTTCCCGCATTTCCACAACAGTTAAATCCAAAACGGTCTTCTGTTTTTTGTCTATTGGTTTTTTCCCTTTGTTTTTAGCCTCCTGGGATCTTTTCTTCCCTAAAAAAGAAGGGCGGGGGTGGGAAGAGAAAGGAAACAAGAATTTGCTTTTAATGCACGGATAGCTTTTTGCAATGTCACCTTTAAACAGTGAATCTTGGAGTGGAAGTTCATAGTATTCTTTCCTTCAATGGAAAAGCAATAATATCAAGTACAGTTGAATATATCCATGCTTAAACAGGAAAAATTCCACTAGAGTCCTCTTTAAGCAGAGGTTGGCCTCTTGAGGTATTGTGGATTTCAGTTCCCATTGGCCCCAACTCATTTGGCCAATGATCAGGGGCAGCGGGAGCCCGAGACAACTGGGCAGCGACAGGTTGCGGAGGGCTGCCATAGAGAACACGACCTTACGGGAAGGAGTCCACGAACCTCACACAGAAAAACTCCTACATCTCTTGGCAGTCTTCCTTCCCAGGCATGTGTCAAAGCTAACTCCCTCAGCGTGGTACCCTTCACACACTTTGGACCAAAACAGCTGTTGCCCAGCCCCAGAGAATGCGAACGGCAGAGATGTATTCCAAAGCCATCTGGAGTCCACTGGGCTAGGAAGGCAAGGATGCAAAGTTGGAAGTGGTTGAAACAGAGAGTCCTGCTAAAAAGATATAGGGGAGCCCTGCGCTGTGCAGCAAACCAAGTCCTGGACCACAGCCCCGTTTCACGAGGGAGAAACATGCTGGCGGCACAGCGGCGGTGAAAACCTCCGGCCTGCCACTGGAACGAGGCCTCTGAAGGAGAGAGAAGACAGACGCAGGGCGGCTGACCAGTGGAAGCGGCAGAACGGTCCTGCAACAGGGCCCTATGTGGGCCGGAAGCTGGTGTTTCACACTGCAGACTTTTTCATATTTTAAAATCTCCCAAAGTTGCACTTTTCTTTACAGTTAAGATGCTAAATTGTTTTAAAGCAACATATCAGCACGGACTACTTTTGATTTTGAAGGCTTTCCCTGCATGGCCGGCATGTGGGATGCATGACTGATGACCATCCCGTTTCTGCAGCTCTGCATCACGCGCATCACGTTGCTTGCATGCGGGTGAATAACAGGGAGCTCCAACATGCGCTACCTGCGGCCTACCTTCTTCAGAGAAGCATATTATTATTGATTTTACTTCTATATCCAATAGCTGAAGCTCTCTGGGGAGTTTATAACAACCCGTACAATACAAGGTAAGATATCAACAAGAATTGAAACATCACAAACGTGACCATGCAGAATTTAAAACAGATGTAAAAAGCTTCAGTAGCGAATGCGAATTCAACCATAAGATCTGCTTAAGCAACTGAGCCCCAATATAGCAGCGGACTAATAAAATGTCCGGGGCAGAGGAGCAGCCTTAGCCCTGACACAGAAAGGATATTGAAGCGGGTGCCGCACAGGCCTCAGTGGGAAGTTGGTTCCACAAAACGTCGTTCCAGAATAGACACCCATGCATAATGCAGTGATGGGGACTATTCGGCCCCTTTCCCTGACCTCGCTAATTGTTCTTCTGGACTTGGAGCTTTCATGTTTCACTAAGGCTTCATAACCAGGACGCAGCCTCGTTAGGGACTGGGTGCTTTGCATCCACACGTGCAACCGTATTTTCTAGCTGTTAAATTGCCCCTATTTCCGTTGGGGAGGGTGCCATGATAACCTCTGGCTGGCCTGAGGAACTGGAACTGCCATTTTTCAAAGGTTCAGCTCCACGCCCAGGGTCTTCAGAAAGGAAACCATCGAGGCCCATGGGATGCATCCTGTCTCAAACGCACGTGGACACAGAAGAATCACACAGTAAACAAGCTGTCATGTCACACTCTTCAGCCACTGAGATAGACTTCGAACTCTCAACGGCTTATTGTTTGCAAGCAAATTATGTTTTTACATATGACTTCAAAAGAGCACAATTGCCTTGTTATTTAGACGTAACGATAGCTGGGTTGCCAGAAGATAAACCAATTTGGGACAATCGTGATCCCTCCCCTTTTGTTTCTCGGGGGGGGGGGGGGCTGGTTGTGCCTCCATTCCTCTTGTCACTCAGTGCCAAACATCAGAGCCTTAACAATATGCCTCTCTCTCTCTCTCTCTCTCTCATTCTCTCTCTCCCCGCCGTGTGTGCGTGCGTGCGTATGTGGGTTGTGGTAATGTTTGGCAATGATTCTTGATGTGGGAACTGAGCTGTGAACAGACATCTTTGCTCTTATTTCTAAAATGTTGGAGGAAATGACACACAAACCGTTGGTGGGTCTGACATCAACGTTCCAGAGCTCCTACCTTAATGAATGCACCGGAAGGGCCAAACACCTGAAGGAAATGGGAAAGGTTCTTCTGTTTGTTTTTGCTTTGTCCCCTGCTTTAGAAAGGCGGTGTGTGAGACTTCTGGCATTCGCTGCCAGAATTTGTGCCACAGCAACTTCACCGTGACTCAGCCCGATGTGTGAACTGAGCCCTCATCAGCTCAAACCTCCCCACTTGTGGTTTACTTAGCTTGCTTTAATTCTGAGTGCATTTCACTCTGCATTAGAAAGGTTATATAGACTCTGCTGAATGCCCTAAAACAGGAGAGGAAGAGAAGTAAAGGCAGTAGCTAATTTAGAGAATGCGTAGAGAACTGGTTTTGGGTGCCCAATAAAATTGACACGGCATACAAAGGGAACTGGCTGAAAACAGATATAACTTATCCCACATATAATCAACAGAAACATAAGAAAATAGCTAGACGACAGTATCAGTCAGTCCAAAAAGCGGCTCTTGGAAAAGGTCCTAAAGGCAAGGCACAAGCCGTTTTGCCGCCCATGCAGAGAAAGTGCACTGGGGTTCTGGAACAAAGGCAATCGCTTGCTTGGGGTTACAACTGTAAGGACCCCGAGTACAATGTCCACACTACTTGGGTAAATTGTAGGTGAAGCAGAACCTGTCTGGGATGCTCTCAAAGGGTGGGAGAGTGAATAAAAGGTAAACCAGCACCTGAAACCAGTACACAGAGGGAGGGAGGCAGCCAGCCACTGGAGCGTCCGTCTCCACTGTCCAACAGCAGTGCGCAAGTCAGTGACAGGAGGGAGGGCAGTTACCTATTAAGAGCAATCTGCACAGGATGCTGACAGCACCCACAGCCATGCTGCTTGGGGCTCATGGGAGCTGCAGCGCAAAGCAACTGGAGGGCGTCAGGCCACCTGCCCCCGAGATAAGGGGCTGGAGCTCAGCAGCTGAGGTGCCACAAACAGCGCAGAACTTGCAAATGCGCATACAGGTCCTGTTCCACAGACGAGAGACATCTGCCAAAGTAGCTGGGTCTGAAATGAGCACCTGGATCATCGGTGTGGAACAAAGGGCATGCCCAGCGAGGGAATCCAGAAGAGAAGCTGTGTTGCAAGTCACATGCCGGAATGCAATTCCTTCATTTTTTCCTGAATAGGTTACCTAGGAATCATTTCCCCCTCTTTGTTTTGCAAATAAGGGGCTGACCGCCCTTGGACCGCAAAGCAATGGCAGAACTCGAAACCCATGCAGGGCAGATCACCTGGCCAAGCGAGTCCCGCCACGACGCACCGCGGTGGAGTGCCTGGCAGAGGAGGAACAGCACAGCGGGGCTGAGCAACTCCCTGCATCTGCGGCCCCCTTGGCACCCCCCTGGAAGACCCCTCCTCCCACACGGGGAAGGGGAGCAGGCATGGCAGGGCACCTGAGCAGCCCCTGGCTCTGGGCTGGCCAACGAACTCCACCTGATGGCACTGCAGGCAGGCGAAGAAGCCACGTTCTTGTGGGGGCTTCACGAGAAAACTTCCTCGTGGAAAGCTCTGTCCACGTTGTGAGAACAGCGATTCCCCAGCCAGAGCTTCCAGAACAGGGGCTTCTCATCCACAGCCACTCTCGTGGACCCTTGCCAACAAGCGCGCACTTTGCTTTGCTCTCTGATCTATTTTACGGTGACTGTAAAGTAAAATACGATTGTGCCATTTCGCTTTCTGCACAATGCAAGCCCTTTTTTGGCTGGAGAAGCGGCACGCACATAATTAACAACAGAAAGAGATGGGGAGGGGGGAGAGAGAGAACTGTATCTGTACCCCCCCCATATGTATATATCAATGTGCCTCCTTTTCATTTGCGCCCCACTGACTGAAGCGGAAAGAAGCCCTGTCTTCTCTTGCACGCAAACACAAAAAGTCCCCCCAGCCCCCCCCCCCCGGGGGGGGGGGCGGCGGGGGAAACCCCCCCCCCCCCCGCCCCGAAGCATCCGGTCACCTAGGGATGTAGCCCGCTGCTGGCGGAGGCCAGGCAGGGCCCTCTGGGGCTGCGCTGCCAGTTGTGTTGGGCTACAAACCCCCCAGGCGCAACAACCCCTGCCAATGCTCTCTCGAAGGGACAAGGTTACACACAGACACGCCATGGCTGGAGCAGGCAGTGGCCCCTTTGCTTTGGGGAAAGGGGACTCCACGCCCGGCAAGGGACTCGCCTGCAGAACAGGGGCTGCATAACCTGACCATGCACCGCCCTCCTTTCTGCAGAAGGGCATGTCTGAGGCCTTTAGCTGTGTCATGACAGGAAGGACACGCACTAAATGACCAGAAGGGAGGCTCCTGCAGCGTTCGGGTTGGTTTTAAGGTTATCTAAGCAGTCAAAAAGAGCACACGTGAGCTACAAGAGATGCTGAACCGCACGAGAAGTTGCTGCAAACAGCTGCTGAAGAAGCTCTGCAGGGAATTCCTTGAGATACCCCCCCCCAATGCATTGGAACAGCTATGCAATTTTGTTGCAATCCCCCCCCCCCCAGCCAACATCTCTTATTTGACCATTCTTTGTTGGGCTTCCCTCTAAGTAGATACCACATCCCATTCAGAACAGATACATTATTTCCAGTTTACGGAAGAGCAAATCCGCAGGTTATATAAAGGGACAACACCGGAAGAGGAGGGAACGAGATGCCAACTGCCCAGGAGTGGCTTCTTACGGGCTGTGAAGCCGAAAGTTGGCACAGCGGGTTAATTCTGCAGGCAGGCCGGGTTTGCGCACGTGCACCCGGACTTC